CAAAGCCCCTGTACAATGCTGCTTTTGGTAGCGTACACGGAGCAGGCACAGCTATTGGCGTCTGGTGTCTGCTCAGCTTTATTTTGAGATATTTAAACTTAGCAAACTGGCTTTTTTTAGGTCCATATGCACAGATCAGGTGGTCACCTGTGGCAATATGTTTATTCACAGATTGTAGCTACTTTCAGGGAACAGCCTTCTCTAAACATAATTAGGGCTATTTAAGTAGCTGCTCCCAATTACCTCTCGGTTCACACAAAACACCACATACTCCCTCATTGAGCAATAACTCGTGGAGATACAAAGGTGAAAAGCCACAGGCAACTTGCTGTTGAGTGCCTCAAAGATTTTTATGATCCTGCTGTAAATGGATGTTTACTTTTGAAGAGCTGCACACCTAGTATACTCCGCCATTATATTAGTTTTCAAACTAGCAGATTTACCTGGCAGTTCGACAGTTGTTAATATCCTTCAACCTCTTTTGCCTTTGCCCATATTAAGTAGGTGGTAGATAGATGAAAAGCCTGATTCAGGGATGGATGTGCATCAGATGAAGAAAAGCCTGATTCAGGGATGGATGTGCATTTGACTGGTGACAGAACATGTCCTTTCAGCTCTGGTAAGTAAGCTCAGGAGGAGGACTAGGGACACCTTCTAGGAGAGGAGGAATGGAAAAGCCTTGGCACGAAGAGGAGTGGTGAAGCCTGAAAGGTTGGACAACATCAACAGAGGACAGTTTTCATGTCATGATGACCATGTTCCTTTCCTTGGCACCTTCTCCTTGCCCCCAGACTACAGTGCTCCTTTTTCCTCTCCTCCTTGCCCTCTCCTTCCCCTCTTTCTCGTCCACTGTGCCATTTCTTGCCTTCTTTCTTTGCCCCTTGACATTCACACTGGCCTCCCAGGCTCCATCAGTGGTGGCAGCTGCTCCCTCTCCCACACCCACCTGGCCCCACGCATTCCCACCGAGCCCCTCGTGCATGCCACTGGCCCTCCCTCTATCTGCCTGGCTTGTCCCTCCCTCACAGCGGGCCTGGGGCTTGGTGGGATAAAGGATTGGGGTCTTTCAAAAGACAACTTCTCAGCACCAAGAGGGTGGAGAGTAGACACAGGAATTCACCTCAAGCAAGCATTCACATGACTGCGTGCTTTGAATAAAAAATAAAGACATCTTCAGATCTGGGGGATTTGCTTGGTGCCTTTTTGTCACCATTTGGTTTTGATGAAAAGAACATGCCACCATTTGGGAATGCTGAATTTGCATCTCTCACAGAGAGAATTTCAGCCAGATAAGTTTTTGTAGGTCCAGAATGAATGTGCGATTCATCAACACATGTAGTAACACATGAAAGAACTTTCCCGAGAAACTCTGTAATACTATTTTAGGATTTTATTATACTAGGATTTTAGGAGTGATGCAAAAACCAGGAGCTTACACATCTTCGGTAGAAACTTTGCATTCCCTGCACATACGTCATTGCTGCCTGACCCACCCAGAGATTTGGGCGTCCAGGGAGCACAGAGCCAGGGCTGGCGTGTTGGATCACACAGTGGAGACCTGCAGCAACCACGTTACTCCGGGTAGCGCCGTTCCTGCATTCATCTAGCACTGTCACAAATACAATTACGCTAACACTAACAGGGAAATAAGAAACATGAAAGATGCAAAAGCTGTTTATAAACAGCTCCCCTCCCTTCCTAAAAATGTTATTAACTATTTCATAATGTAACATCAAGCGGGAAACTTGGTGCCAGTTTCCAGCACTACAGATGCCACTGAAAAACAAAGGAAGCTTTCCAAGCAGAAAAGGGGGCCACAAAAAAAAGCGTGAGTCATGCAGAAACCCTCCTTGTGTTTCATGTCCCCCCCTGCTCCAGCAGTAATGGTATAAATATACACTCCGGTCTGCTAAGGCAAAATGCAGATCTTTTTCCTCATTGTTCTGCCTTTGAGAGGACTGTCAGAGCAAGCAGACAGTCCTTGTATCCAGCTCCACACTGAAATTTAAACACTTCTGAGATCTACTAATAACATTTTTCTGAAATATCACAGGCTAAGTCCTGGAGGAGGATGAAGCTGAGCAAGCAGAATTACAGACAGTGCGATTTACCAGGGTCTTTTCTAACAGGCTGTATCAAACAAACAAAAATCCTGTCATCATTTTTAGACCTTTTTTGCCATGTTACCTGCATGTCTTGCACAATTTATGTTTCATCATTTTCCTTCCTGATAACCAGTCTCATCTGTTACCCAGCCATTGCAAACCAGTGCACAACAGAGGGGGTTGAAGAATGGTACTGCGTAGAATTTCTCTGTGTGTTGTTGACTTTACCGTGCCAGCCGCACGGTGAAAAGAGAGACTGCGTTAGAGCTCAGAAATCACACCTGTAAATCTCATTTTTCACAGTTATCCCTTGCCCTGCGTACCCGCTGCACAGCAGGAGGGAGGCAGCCCGGCACGCTGCTGGCTGCAGGCGCGTGGCTCTGACCGCTCCCACAAGGACTCGTGCTTTGGGACTGGGGCAGCTCGGATCCTGTCGTTGCAGTGTTAAAGGGTGCACTGACATGTGCATCGCACAAATGAGACTTGACACAAGAAGAAGAGGGAAGGTTAACTCTGACAGTTTCCTTGCTGTTTCACTGCTGTCTGGACTCCCCGCATTTTTTTTCTGCAAGTTGCCTGCATGTGGTTTCAGTGGTGAAGCTCTTTGGCTTTTGTCCTTCCTCCTGCCCTAAATAATTTCACCTCTGGGATTCCAACAAGGCCATCATACTAAATGTTTTATAAAACTTACTTGCTCTTTAGGCTCAGCAGGAACAACGTTGCCCCTGTAAGGGCTCACGCTACTTTGAGCGACGTTATCCTGGGTCTGTGTAAGTGTTGATGAGAAGAACTTGGCCCCAGACTCAGCCCCAGTGGGTGCTGAGTGATCAAGTCATCTGGAATAAGAGTCTCATTTTCAGAGCACTGCAATTTTCTCCACAACGATGTTATCTTTGTTCCTTGGTTTCTGGCAGCAGAGCTGCTCACACATGCTATTAGCAGATGGCAGAAGACGTACATGGAATTTGCTCTCAGAACATTTCTTCCATTCTTCCTCCCAGACTGAAGAAGCTAAAAGCATATACTAACTACAGCCCTTTTCCAAACAGGGCTACAGATAGTTAAAAGCAGGCTTCAGTAGAAACCTCTCAAATATTTCAGTCTCTCTGCTGTAGTTTAACTACTCAGCACATACCCTTTCAGTCAGAATTGCAGGGAGTGCATTTCTGTAAAGCCATGCTCCTCAGTGCCCTTATGTCAGCTCCTTTTTGGGATCAGCTGTTAACAAGCAGCAGGCATTGCAGGAAGGCAGAAAACTTCCACGCAATCTCTCCAGTAAGCTGAGGCTTCCATCTGGGGCTTACAGCTAACTGCCGTGGGCTTGCCAGAACTTGGTGCACTTTGTGTAGACCAAGATGAACACATAAATTTAAGGATCAGGCAAACAAATTTCCAGAATGGGCATGAATTCAGGAGCACGGACATGTACGCGTTGTTCAGCCTCCAAAAGGAGGAGGAACGAGCCAGACGAACTCCACATCATCCCATATTTATGCTGCTATGAGCTGAAACTAAACTGGCCTTCCAGTGGGGCTGCTGTCAAAAGGAATCTGGGAGCTGTTGTTGTAACCATGTGCTTGAGCGCTCTCCTGAATCACCATTCACTTTTGATCTGGATGTCTCATCTAGGAAAAGAAATGGCTTTTTGAAAAATCTTCTTATTCAGGTTTCTTTTATTTACAATGTATTATGATTTTTTTTCTGCTTCCTTAAACTGAGGCAAATCCTGCTCAGAGTTGCTCCTGCATTTGATAGAAAACAAACACAGATGAAAGACCACTGCTTTGAGACTGTCTCAGCCTTCAGATCTTACATGAGCACTTATTTTTCATCCGTTCTGTTTTTTCCCCAAAGGACAATTTTATTCCAAGTTCATGAGCTCGTGCTGAAAAACAGCAGAACATTTCCTAAGTCCCAAAATTCTGTGGAAACTCGAGTCTAATGCTTTAGATCCAAATTTAAACTTGGCATGTTGACCCCATGTAGCGCCAAGTGGAACAATCTCATTTCAACAAGAAAGGTGCAATAGTTCCAGCCTCTCAGGATAGTTGTGCTCAGGTACCTGCTCCACAGTTCACCGTGTCTCTGCCCACCTGCCACCACCGACTCCTGCTTCTCCTGCAGGCATCATTCACAGCCATGAACTGCCTCCTGGAGGTGGGTGCCTCAGCATACAGGCAACCTCCTTTCGCCCAGTGACCCGCTGGTTGGAGAGAGCTCGTCACCGGCAAGCAGGGTTCCAATTAAGCCTCTGCCTGACCAGCCTCGAGCCCCACATCTTGCTCACTCCCGTCGTGCCTCAGTGCTAAGACGAGTGACTGCGCAGCACGCAGCCTCTGGCTGGAGGTGCTCCACTGAGTGCCACAGCATTGCTGGGAGCACGGGTGTCTCATCCCAGGAACATCGAGGGTCTTGGCCCAGCAGCGAGATGCAGAGAAGAGCTAGGAGTGTGAGTCCCAGCAGGAGCAGGGCTGGGCGATGCAGGGCGTGCCGTAGCACAACCGTACACCCTGGTGCGTGCCGGGCTGCCGCAGGAGCCACGCTGGCAGGCGCTAGGCTCAGGAGGCACCTTCACATTTGATCTGGGATTTAGACAACTATCTGCAGTTCCAGGTGCCAATGCCATGCCTTGGAGTATGAGCCCACTCATCCTTAGTAAGTCATGGTCAAAATTTCCAAAGAGAAAGATTTCAACCATAAATCAGATACACGCTGTGGACTGCAGTGGGACACAGTCAAAACCTGTCTTCAAAGGACTTCTCAGAAAGAACAGGCTATGATGCCCCATGGATACTGGAGGTTACTGCTATTTTATAAAGCAAGATTGAAAGACTGTACTACTCCAAAATTCTGATTGCTACCCGTCTGGACTTAGAGTTTCAATTTTCAAGCCACTATCTCAAATGTGAAATCCCCCCCAAAAAAATTTTCACAAAGATACTTGGTCAAATAATTAAAAACTGCTTCAGCAGTACAGTTATCATGTTGATGCTCTTGTCTTTCTACCCTGTCTCAGAGAATTTGTTCCTTTTGTTAGATAATGCAGACAGAAGGTGTACTGACTACTTGCTTTTATTCATGGAAGTCTTTAAGTTCCGAGATTATTTAAAAGAATTTGCTTCCATACAAATGTACTTCCTATTGCACACTGTGCTCTCTCATCAAAGATGGAAATCCAATTCCCCAGTTTCAAGAAGTCTTCAAGTTTTCAGGCGTTGCTCTTTTCACACCATACGAAGGCCCATGCAATTGGGCACCCATGCAATTCTGCTGGCAGTTCAGAGCAGAGGAGCAGCAGGTAAAATGCTGCTTTGTGTCTTGGCCAATACTAAACTATTGAAGTCACACTTTTATGTGCACCTGGTTATACCTTGCACTGAAAAGTGTGCGTGATAGAGGCACTTTTGTGCCAACCATGGAATTTATTTCCTTAAAAAAGTATTTTTCCTAAAGCCTAATAGAGATTGCAGCCCTAGATAACTCACTTGCTTTCTTCCAATGTCAGGAGCATGCAGTGGAAAGAGCTGAAACTCTGCAGAAAGGGCATGGCTGGACCCTGGCGTGAACACTGGTGGCCGGACAGCCAAGTGATCTCCTGTGTGCAGGGCAACCAAGGGCGGAAGGAAAGAAAAGACATGGGGGGGAAAACAGGATTTTTGTTACATTTTTGTTGTACTCGAGGAAAAAAAAGAATTTGCCATCTGGCTAAGAAAGCTAAGTACAATGTATTCTATAATTCCTACCTAACTCTATGAAACAGCTTATATCGAGTGCTACGGATACCCCACATCTCTCCTATGTTACTTTCTTTTGAAGTTCAAAGCCAAAAAGCTACTTTGAGTTGGCTACATTTGTTTGCCCTTTCCTTCCCTTGAAGCAAATACAACCAGTAAAATTCCCTGGTGTATTTCTCTCCTTCCTGAAGTTTCTTTTCTCATTTGCCCTCCTCCATATAATCAGACCCCTTTTCACACATGGGTGAACCCAGAAAGTAATTTAGAGTGGGAACCACGTGAACCAGTTGAGTGAACATCAGGTAATTGTGCCTTAGAGGCCTTTTTGAAGGTCAAATATTTCTGGGTAATTTTTCCAGCTACTTTCTTTGTTAAATGAAAACCCACTGAAACCAAGAGAAGAACAAGGTGGCTTTGTAAAAGTCTCTAACTCACTGGCCCCGTGAATCCGCCTGCCCCATATCCCTGCATGATTTCCTTCTACATTTTCTTTCCAAGACTCCCACCTTCACAAGTCACCTGCCTGTGCAAAATCTGTATTGTTCACTGTTGCCCTGAGAACAGCTGAGATTTTCAGATACGCTTCCCAATACATTCTTACACTTCTAAGTCACTTCCAAGCTTTTGCAAAAAAAGGTTTACTTTATGTTTGCATCATGATATGAAAAACAATCTAAAAATCATCTCTGAGACACACAGACAGACACACACACAGACAGACAAACAGGAGCGCTTGTGAACCTGGCAATCTGTGGTTGCTTTCTGTGTACTGTCTCCAATGTCGACTGTTATAGGTGAGTTCACACTGCAGCTTTTCCTTCCAGGCATTATGAATTTGGGTATTACCACTAAACCCAATAAACTTCGTGATAATTATAAATAACAAATTAAAACATTGATTTAAATGAACTGACAAGTGTTACAGCCACAAGATGGTCACATAATCCCAACTTTCATACAAAACTATATGAAGAACATCAAACAAAATTAAAGAAACTTTATGTTCTCCTTTAATGTGTGCAATTTCAACTACAGAAGTAAATAAATTGGTTTTATACTAGGAATGGAAGCAGAGGAACTTTGCTAAATACATTTTCTATTTTAGGAGAGATTTTAATTTAATAAACTGGACTTGTTTTCTGAAAAACAACTTGTCATCAAGAACAGAACAATGCCACTTAGGCAGCAAATTCATCAAAGCAAAGGCTTTTTTAAATTGCAGAACCTAGCACAACAAGGCCCTGATTTGTCCTCTTCGGAATGCAATACCAATAAGTAACAATGTGGTGAGTTCCCAATCCCAAATTCTTTACTGTTGCTCCAGACGCTACAAAGGTTATGCAGAGTTTGCACTGCACAGGATTCCTTTCTTGCACATAACTCTGAATGTGCAAAGTCTTTCCAGACTCAGAACAACAATCATTACACAGACCCAAATATGGTGGCGGTCGTGGTCAGATATACGTGTAGAGATGCACATGAATGGGCAGGTATATGCTGAAATGGGCTCATTTTAATTAAGGAAAACATGAATACTGACAAATATATTTGAGGAAGTAATTTAAATGTAATGCAAGTGCATTTACTGCTAATCCCCAGTACAGCTGCATAGGGGAGCGCTTTGGCTGCTGCAGGTCACCCGAGAACAGAAGAGCTGAGCTCTGTGCCCTGCACCAGGCAGCACTCGCTGAGAGCTGAGCTCCACTTTCCATTGCACACTGGACCATAACTGGGCACAAATCCTTCTTCCCCATGGGCTCCACCCTTGGTGGGCTCTGGGTGGGGGACGTGGGACTGTCCACCTGATCCTCCCCGCCGCTCCTCCAGAAAGGCAACAGGCAAGCCTCCCACCTCCGCCGTGTCTGCTGCCACGGGGGTCCATGTCCTGCTGGGGAGGAAAGCCTTGCCCCACTCAGCCCCAGTCACTGCTTTGGACTCGCTGTCCCCAACGTGGTGGTCCGCTCCAGCCAGAGAGTTAAACCTGTGTTTAAAATACATAAATGCCAGAAAAACTCTGTACCCAATTTAAAGATTTGGCTCAAACTCCTGTGCCATTCTGCTCGGGAGAGGAAGGAGAGCTTTTGCAAGAATTAACAAAAAAGAAGCTGCAAACTGCCCTCACAAGCTAGTAAAGAAAAGGAAAGCAGTCACTGCCTCAGCACAGCGCATCTGGGTTAGGCTGAGCGCTGCTGGGCTCTTGGGGCTGTCAGAGCTGTTTGCCTTATCAATGGGTCCCACAAAAGCACTTCTAAAGCTTTATCCTAAAGGAATGCAGTGTCCAACAACGACTGATAGAGATCGGAGTGATGAAGTCCCTGCAGGCATGTGCTTCCAGGGAACAATGGGAGTTAACTGCATGCTGGGAAAAAGTCCCGCACGGCAAGGTGATAGGTACTGTTGGCTTAGAGAGAGAAAATGAAAAAGCAGATTCAAGGCTGGAAGAAATCTGCTCTTCAGTGGCAACATGCTATTGCCTGAGAATTAAACTACTTGTTTCACTGCGTTTTCTTTGGGGATGCTGCTGAGGGACCTCTGAAGAACAAGCAACATCAACAGCTCTCCTGTGAAGCTTCATGAGGCTTTCTGTGTACTCCAGATTACTAATGCTGGCTACGTATCTATGTGGCTAAGTGCTGAACAAAAGTTACTTGTTGTCATCTGAATCTATTGTTGCTGCTCTTCCTGGGTGCAGAGTTATTAAGGCATCTTACCAGCCGTACTGGGCAAAGTAGTCATCTGCCACACACCTGATCAAATCTAGAAAAACAGCATTTGTTCACTACCGTTGCTCCAGATCTGGGTTGAAGATAAAACTTATTGGCTTGCAGGGCATTTGGATGCTTGCTAGACATATTTGTTGCTTTTGGAGTAGCTGTTGGAGGCAAAATGACTTGAAAAGCTCACGGATGTCCTTTGGGGGCATGTACTAAATAAGAGCAAATCAAGATAAAAGTGAAGCAGTGCACTGCTCCTTCCTCCTCCTGCCTATGGCCCTGGACTACTGAGATCTGTTGATTATTTCTAGAGCTTCCACAAAAAGTAACTTTTGCAAGCTGTTGTTATTGCACAAGAATCTGCACCTCTACTAAGAAAGCGTTGCACAAATCAAGATGATGAAAGCGACTCCTCTGTATTGAGCTCTTCTGGAGAACACAGACTGCCTCAGGCTTTAGACGCTGTCGAAGACATAAGGACATAAAATTTGTCTGAGGTTCATCCAGCCCAACAGTGTCTCCAATAGCTGTCATTATCAGCTCCTCAGGGGAAGGCAACTGAAGTACTCGGGGCTGACTGTATCACTTTAACCACATTCTTGCAGACTATTTCAAAGATTTCCAGTAGAGGCATCAGACCTCAGAAACGTTTCCAGTCTTCTGGAAAGTATTTGCTATTCCCAACATTTTGCAGACCATAAGGGAACAGAAACAATAATTACACAAATGCAGTTCCCAAGAGGTTGTTTGGTAAAAAAGCTTGACATAAATTAGCAGATCAATGGATTACCTCTGAAGCCTTTTAAAAGGCTTAGCTACTTCTGTCTTCCATTTCTCAGCCATCAGTGCTGACTTACACAGTGAGATCCACACAGTTAGCTGAGCAGTGCCGGTTTCACGTTCTTCTAGAACCCTTGAGCAGAAAAACCCTAGTTTGGGGTTTGTTATTCAACCTACTGATTTGCTGCTCCTTCGCTGACAGCTGAAGTGGAGACGGGTCCTCCTGCTCACCCAGTAAAGCATGGTCTCCTGATAGAAGGTCCTCCTCAAATGTCTCCACAGCAGGCGCAGACACTGGGATTCGTGGCATTCGGAGCTGTGCCTCCCCCTGTGCTCCTTTTGCGCTGCAGCCATCAGCTGGGCTGCTTGGCAGTGCACACAGCTAAGCTGCTCCCTGGACATGTGCTGGTTACAGCAGTGAGCATCAGCTCAAAGACAATTTGAGAAATCCCATTTGAGACTTTTAAGGAACATGACTTAATTAGGTAACTTTCATAGACACAAAAATTTGCATAATGCCACGGATACCAACATAAGGTTGACCCATCTTACCGCAGCAATAGTCACAGTAAGACACATTGGTGCTGCACAAAACCTACCAGCCACGAAGCTGTGCAGTTTGCGTGGGCTGGGAAGATCCTTGGGTGCCAAAAGAGATGGTGATGAGCTATAACTGCTGGGCTCCATGAAGGGGCTGCAGATGAGAGAGCCTGAGACAGAATGAGATGTTTTCAGGGTATTTTTGTCAATGGGAAAGGGACTGAGTGCTCCTGGGCTGGGGGAGTATTCTGCTGTTGATATTCGGCTGTTGGTAGTAGGGGGGCAGCTTGAGGAACGCTCACTAAACCGGGCCCTCCTCGTTTGTCATTGACATTCGGCTTGCCACACACTGCTGCAGCCAGCTTCCCTTCTTCCCTTGCTTTTGCTGCCTGACTCTGGCAGGGAGTACAGGCAAAACGGACGCTTGCAGGCTGCACAGGACCTTTTCGCAGCTGCGGGAAGAATCACCAGCCCTCTCCTGCAGTGAGTGGGATGGGAAAACCCTGGCTGAGCTAGGTTTGTGTGAGGCGGAGTGTCCCCCAAGTGACAGTAACACACGATGCAGCACGCTTGCCAGCCGTGAACAGTGCCCTGCTTGGGTATGGCTACAAGCTGTGGGCAGAAGAAATCACCCAGCCGTGCACCACATACTGCTCAGTGTCACTCACAGAATTATCATGCACTTGTACCATTCCACAGAAATACATGTTCTTTAAGAAATAAGAAGTGTGTTAATTCTAATTATTTCTAATATTATAACTGTCCATCACATGCACACACCCACAGTTTTCTCTACTGAAGTGCAAACACAACATCTTTTAATCAGTACTTTCTGCATGGTTAAAAAATTGCTGTTTGACGTACCGTACTCTCTTCCCTTCATGCCTGCTTTGATTTCTTGATGCAAGTCAAGATCCACTCCAACTGCATTTATCTTGTACTTGTGTTTGGAATGAAATATTTCATAACATGCACATGGAGATCTCTTTTGAGTAAATATGAAATTCTATAATTAGAAAAAAATAGAGACCAAACCATTACAGTATTCTCAGACTACAAACATGTTGCTTGTCTGCATTAATAGCAGTCTAGAACTATAAAATATATGGTATAACATTTGCAATGCTTATATAACATATATATAGCATTTGTTAATGACACATTGTCCTTTAAAATCAGTTACATTTAATAACTTGGTTACTGTGTGTATTCGCAAACTAGTAAATCACACGATTTGAAAAATGCAGGGAATAAAATAATATCTGTGAGTATCGGCACTACCTAAAAGAGCATGGCACCTAGGCACTAGATCTCAGCTTGTATGCCTCCCTCCCACAAAATATATTTATTTTGTACATCACTTAGCGGTTTGGGGTCGAAATGCAGCCCAAGCTGGAAGAGGTCCGGTGATGTCTCTCCCAGGCTGCACAGGAGATGAGGAAGCACCCTCGGGGCAACCCAGGGGCTGGGATGGTTTTGGCAGGCAGGGCGGGAGTCTGCATCTACCAGGGGTGGACCTCTCCCTCTGATGGCAACCCTGAACTGGCACCATCCAGCAAGCATGTGTTCCCTGTGTAAGTATGGATATCTTTAATGAATGATACATTGATTTCTTCTGCTGGGGCGGATGCCAGGAGTTCTCTTCAGTATCAGTAACGTTTCATTCATGATTTCAGCTGCTCCTTCATGGAAGGAGCACAAAGGAACAGACTGCCTGAAGACAGAGGGCTCCTGCAGGGAGAGCAGCAGCAGACCCCTTGGAATTACTGCTGACCAGAGAACCTGGCTCAGAGTGGAAAGAGAGAGTATTAATTAGGATTAAAGGGAAGTAACTGGCTTAGTATAATATGACAGCTGTGCCAAAGAGAATGCCACATTTTCTAGCTGCAATCCTTACTCTCAGATCTCTGTGTTATATTTTGGGTATTGGACAAATTGTGCTGGCTGCAGAATATTCTCCGTTACTGTAAGTCACTGGAGAGGGGCAGAATTGTCTATATTTAGGCCACCAAGTCCCCTGTGTTAATCTTTATTCCCTCTTTGTTTTAGTACTCTGCTTTCTATTTTTACCTCGCATATTCTGCAGCAGGTCTGGACGCTTGAAGAAGTCGGGGCGTCTTTTCCCCAGAAGAATTAATGGCCATGCCTGTAGTTTGTTTTCCATTTACTTCTTTCTCCCTTTCTTCATGTGTGGGTTTTCTTATAATGCAGACTATGAAAAATACTCCAACCAGAAAACAGCAGACCTGAAATGGAAAGCAAATGATAAATCAAACGGCAGTAGTAGAAAAGAAGGAAAGGGGTAACATTTGTAGTGCAATTTTGCCTAGAATTTCAGTCGCAGCTGTGCTTATTTAAGATTACGAAGGTACATTTGAAAAAGAAAGCAAAGGATTTGTGAATGACAGACACAAATCATAACTGCACCGTTGCCAGACTGAGACAGGAGCAATACTCGCCGCGTACCTCTGTCCTCCATCAGCCAGGCTCTCTGCTGTACTCGCAGCCAACAGTACCACATTCAGCCAGGAAAATGGCTCACTCAGTAAAAAGGGTAGTAAAAATTGGCACCACATAAGTAAGACAGTCATATACTTATCATTGTAAGCCAGTGCTATTTCTGAACATCTGATCTCTACATGATTTGAAACGTGGGCTAAACCAGTGATATTAATTGGTGTTTTCCATTAATATGACCTTCAGGAGCTTTGGCTTGCATTATTCATCAATCTGAACAAAAGTCCACAGGACCACCTTGAGGTGCTTTCCTTCTGAAGGGACTGAGCCTGGCTGGCTGCCTCCTCCCTGAAACAACGGAGCAGCTCAGGTGCACTGGGAGAAGGTATCAAGGCTGTCGCAGGACATGGGGTGCTTCGCTCTGGCTCTGCGTGTTACTGCTGGACCACTCCTGCCCTGGGCCTGACCATTCACCCTGCTTCCTCCAGTTCTCCTCAGATGGAACCTGATCTGGGCAGAACATTTTTCATTTCCTCCAGCTTTCCTGGTTTGTGAACTCAGACACAGCGGCAATGTGCATGCCACTCTCCTCTGCCATCCTTGAGAGTGCAGGCAGTGCCAGGAAGATTTCCTTCTGTTTGTCCTGATCCCTTTCTGTTTTCCACTGGGGTGGGGAGAGCAAGAAAAAGAGGTGAATTCAGAGGAGGAACAACTGTGAGAGCGGTCCTGGAGCCATCTCCCCTCCCAGACAGCGCAGAGGTCTGTGTTGTTCCCCCACCTTCCCCAGTGCTGTCCTGGGATGCTCCTCCAACAGCATCTTGTGGGCAGGTTTGCACTGAAGACCAGGAGCAGGCAGCTACTGGCCCCCGGGGAGCTGCCTGCCATGCAGGGACGTCCAGTATGGAATGGGATTTTGTACACTACTTTCCCTCACCATCTCTTATCTTCCCAGATGTTGCTGCTGGACGCACACTGCAGGAAAGGAAAGCCAGCAGAGCACTGTGGAGGGAAAATACCCGGGAGATTCAGGCCTTGCCAGCTCTGATTAGTAGTCTCAGAGCCCTTTCCCTGCAGGACATGCTTTGGAGAAAACTTTGCATGGTTTCAAATAATACAGATCAAAGTGAATTCCCCACTAAAGAGGAATCCACTAACCAACACTGATGCTTTTCTCAAAGCAGGAAAGGTATGAAGAGGAGCATAGGCAAGGAGAAGGGAAGAAATGTCTTTGGAAAAAAGCCCCAGGGCTGCTGGCAATATGAAAAGCACAACCTCGAACCTGGTCAGTGCACAAACAAACAGCACTCTGGAAAGACAAAAAAAAAAAAAAAAAAAAAAAAGAGAGAAAAGAGGTTAAGAAGCATCTCTGAGCAGTGGTGGAGCCACCCTAACCCTACCAGTAACTGCCAGCAGCAGCAGGTAGGTAACTCGTGTTCTCATCCACCTCAATAGACAAGAAAAGAAAAAAAGAGATCAGAAAAAAATAAGAGAACAAGACATTTTCCTGGGAGCGAGGAGCAGCAGTATAGCAGGCTTAGGACTACAGCACTTTCCTTGCAAAGGTATTTGGAGGTCCTGAGTGTTTTTAAATTCCACTGGGTTTGCTGGTTGTTGGTGCTCACAGCGTGACAGCAACAACAGGTCGAAGCGTGCTCCTTGTTCGTGGTAATGGATCTCAACCCTTTACAAAAGTTCCCCTGTGTAAAATCCATCAGGGCGCTGTGGGTGTAAGCTCTTCCTTCCCAGCGCTGAAGGGACATGGGCCCTCCTTGCCCGACTGTGTCTATAGATAGATTTAGATGGACCTCTGTCATCTGCCTGCACGAGTCACGCATTCCCGCTGAGGATTTATTTTAGACACCTGGCACTCCCTTCAGAGAGAAGTGAATTACTGCACGGGGCACACACAGTGGGATAGGAGTACCAGACACTGAGATGCCTGCGTCCTTTTCAGCTGCCTCGCTCCCTGAGCTTAAATCGAGAGTGTAGGTGCCTTGGCTTGACTCTGGGCTGAGCAGATCGCCACAGGGGATGTGCAGAATGACTCCAGTGCGAATCGGTACCAGACAAAACAAGGCAGTGAGGAGAGGTAGTGACATGCAGGACGGAAGAGGGATAATACGGGGAGGGTGGGGAGAGAAATTATTTCAGAGCTGGAGCTAATTTTGTAGAATCTGGCTGTTAAACAAAGAACCACAGTGTTTTAAAAATTCTGCTTATTGAATTAAGTCACTCTCCTGCCAACTGGATTACTTCAGCTGGCTGAACAATCTGACACCTCTTTTTAGAAAAGAATTTGCTAACATGACCAACTCAGTATGACGGCATACCTAACCATCCCCTTCGCTGCGCTCTCGGGGAAAACCAGGCACTACAGCTGAAAACAAAGCCCTTTTATGGGAAACTTCTATAGAATTCAGAAAAGACTTCAAATAGAAATTAAAAGAAAACTCAGAGCATTTCTGTTTTGAAGCCTAATAGAATCATGGATTGGTACTTATAGTCTAGCACTTTTTACATATTTGCATTAATGTATAAAATGTGTATTCTTTTGCATTAAAATTTAAAAAGAAGAAATAATTTGATTATTACATATTAATAGGTGCTTTTGGAGCATGAGGTTTCTCCTTGGCTTCTGAGAATGTCCTTCATAGAAACACTCAAAATCAGGCTCTGAAGTCAGGTAAACGGCCTCCCTTTGCACTCTGTGTTAGCGAGTATTGCACCGCCAGCATGGTTGGACGTTCGTGTTATTTGTACTACAGCAGCACTCACAGAGCTGAACTGAGATCAGGTCTTTATGGTGCTGGGTGTGATTTTTGTACCCTCAGAGGTGGTCCTTGACCCAAACAAGTCTGCTTAGGAGAAGGGAAGTTTGTCTCTGTTTTATATAAGGGAGCAGACGCAGAAAGATTATCCATGCTACCTAAGTGAGATTGCTGGAAAGCTTTTTTTGGATGCCAAAGCAGTGGCTTAACCTAAAGATACATGTCTGCTAAAAGGAAAGAAATAGCTACTAAACTTCACCTTTTCTTAACTTCTTTACTGTTACAGTTTAATTACTGCGCAGTCTGAACACCTGATATAAGTCATTCTCCCCCAAACTCCCCTGCAAACACGCTTCAGCTCTCCTTATAGCCTTGAGTTGTGACAGTGGGACAAATGCAAACACACCGAGTTTTGGAAAGTTATGGGCACCCTCTGGCTTCTTCTGTGGTATCTCCAAGATATCACAACTTCTTCTTTACCTCCAAGACAGCTCTGTCAGTCTCTGAGGGCCTTTTCATTCCTCTGAAATCCAGTCCTGCCTTCTTGCCCACTGATTTCTTGCTCAGAAATAAAAGCAGGTGTTTTACCCCCAGCTGATACTTTCACTGTTAAAACACTTGGATGTCACAGGACAGTATTAAAAACAAAACAACATAGCTGGAAAGAGCTGGAACCCTTTGGGATAGAAATCCCAACAGGATTTTTTGGGACGCCATTTTTGAGAGAGGTCACTGTTCTGGAGAGTTCTTTGGTGGCTTTTTTTGTATCTCAGATTCATTGATGGAAATCATCAGACTTCATTAGATCAAAACATAACATCTCTCTCTGCCCACAGACAGACAGATCATAGCCTTTGGCCATAAGTTGTACCACTCATTGGTTCTTAAACTAAAACTAACTATTCAATTGGCATAAAGCCTAGCATAGACATATTTAGATCAGGTCATGATTTTAGCTTAAAGTTATTCTCAGTGAGCATAATCTAATATTCCCAAGACAGCTCCATATTAACTCAGGGCAAGATTTGATGTGGATTTTGAACCAGCTTAGTGAAATCAATTTACAAAACATGTCTACAGCTAAACCAGTTCAACTTCGCACAGTTCTTTAAATAACAATCATTTTCATGGGTAGTGTTCATCTGAAAATGGGCCTGGTGCAATGCAGCATGCTTTACTTGCTGCTTTTCTTTCCGCCACTTGCTCAAAGTGCGAGCTGGAGGAACAGAGACATTTTCCTTAACTTCCTTTCACTGCTGGAAAGCTGGATCCCTCAATTCCCCCCAGGCACCACTTTGGTTTCCACTTTCCACTTTGCCTCAGGTGCAGAGGAAAGCAGAACTGAGAACGGAGTCCTCCTGTATGGCTGGCCCAAGGACCCACAGAATCCACAATATGCCCAGATCAGGAGAGAGAGCAGAGAGGCTTTGGAGACCCCACGGCTTCGTGGTTCCCGTGCTCCTGTGCTGCCAGCCCTTTGTGACCCTGCAGCTGTCAACCTCCTCCTGGAGATGGGACCCTTCCCAGGAACATCCCCAGTTCTCCAGGGGCCGACGGCACCTTCCCCCCATTTCCTGCACAGAGGATAAGCCGTGCGTTTCAGCAGCACGCAGTGCTTCAGGACAGCAGCTGTACCACCAGCTGTTTATTCAAAGGCCACTCACTGACTTCAATGTGTTACGGACCAGGCACTGTGTGAGGACACCGGTCCCTGTAGGGCTCCTGCAGAGCATCTAAGACACCAGCCACATTTGGTTGCCATTTCAGGAGGAGATGCAGGCATCCTCTCACTTGTGCTGCAGCTTTAATGCAAAGGAAGCCCAGGTACAGAGTCACGCCAGCAAGAGTAAGGGGCCCATGCATAGTGCACGCATGCAGCCAAAGGCTACACCGACACTATGGCAAAGACTGGAGTGTTGGAAAGCACCTTAATGTCGTCACCCTGCACTGTGAAACATGGAGCTTTCAGATGTTGGTTCATTACCCATTGTACCGTGCTGGTCACAAGGCACGCTACCGTG